GGAGATAAACAGGCATAAAATCTTCCCTGTGTGCCTCACTGTGGGCTCCAATTTTTTCACATACTTCAAAAAGCTCCACGCCAATTAATTCTAATGATTGGTTTATATGACTCTTCCTCCAGAATTTCTCACCCTGTTGACATGTTAGTCTGGGTAGTTCTTGGTGAGGAGGGACTATGCTGTGCATTGTAGAGTGTTTGACAGCATCACTGGCCTCTGCCTACTAGATGATATAGTACTTCCCCAGCTAGGACAACCAAAAACATCTCCAGACATAATTGTCAGATGCCCCCTGGAGGCAACCCCCGCCCCATTAAGAACCACTGCCTAAAACTATGAGCAACTTGAATAATAATACAAATAGCAGCAGCGATAGCTATCATTTTTTTAGTAGTCACCAGATGTCAAGCACAGTTCAAAGCTCTCTGCATGAATTATAGAATTTAATCCTCTCAACACCAAAAGGGTAGAGAATTTTAGGCACATTTTATTGATAAATTGGATCACAGGGAGGTAAGTAACTTCCTCAAGGTGTGACTTATTCTCATCTTTTCCATCTCCAATACCTAGCATGTCACTTGATACCATACAAACTCAATAGCAATTTAAGGAATACATGAATGAATGATCGAAAGAACAAATGAACAAATGAATGAATGAATGAATGAACGAATGAGATGGTCTCCTCCACTACAACAATCCATCTTTCTTCACCTTTCAGGAACAATGACCTGTCAGTCTCTTCCAGAGTCCCATGGTACCCCATAAAGTAGTTCAACTCATTAGAAAATTCCTCCCCAGCAATGACTCTTCTAAGCTATCTAGCAATTTCCTTGGGTTTATGCTATTCTGGATACTCTGTATTTGTACTAATAGCCTTAATAAGACCTTCTGGCTTAGTTTTATGAGGAGATCCATCAATCCAGACAAGAATACTGGTATTATCAGATAAATACCATCAATCTAATTTTCAACCTATCAGTCACTTCTTTCAGAACTTTAAGAGATACAATAATACTATTTTCCAGCTGAGAAAACAGCACACTGAAAAACCTCCCAGATACCGGCTTTCTTATGAACACTATGTGCAGTGCTGCTCAGAGGAATAACATGAGAGAATGCTGTCTGGTCTATAAGTGTGGACATTTTCATCCAATGAAGTGAAGCGAAGGGCAAACCATAATGTTTGATTCTTGATTTACAGTTTCATCATTTAAACCTACTTAGCCTACAAAAGCTGTAGAGAAACACAAGTATAAATCCTTCAGTTACAGCAAATGAGATCCTAAAGTTCCCCATATCCAGGACTGACACTCACAGGCTATAGAGGAAAGAAACAGAGAAATGATTCTGTTGTAGAGCAAGGAACTCCAATGTTTCTCAACTCTGCTAAAATTCTACAAAGTATTTCACCTAAAACAATTGTTTAAGAAAGAGTGGAACTTATGATTAAGCAAGACCTACTTAAGGGCTTGTAGACTCACCAGGAGAGGCAAGGTAGAATCAGACAGACCTCACTTTAATCTCAGATCTGCCCCATTGACAACTGAAAAGTTATCCAATCTCTTTTAGCACCAGTTTCCTCATCTATAAAATGGGCATTGTAATACCAATTTAGAGGGTTGTTGGAAAGATTAAATAACATAATGGATATAAGGGGCCTAACTCATAACAGATACCTAATAAAAGGTAGCTTTTACAATTGTCATAAAAATGATCTTAAAGACACACACACACACACACACACACACACACACACAAACACACACACACACCTCATTTCACAGAGAAACCCCTCAACTCAAAACCTGGGATGAGTCTTAATTGGCAGCACCAGAATTAGAACCTCTACACTCCCCTGTCCTTCATTCTGGCCTCTGAACCCTTTCTTAAAGTATAGAACCAAATAATTAATCCTGAAATAATAAACAAGTGCATGAATAAGCTCAGATATCTCATAGCATCACCAGTTTATAGATCTAGTGTGATATCTCAATCCAAAAGCATTTCTCTATTGGGTACTACCTAGATGCAAAGCAATGAATAGGCTATACATGGATACAAAGATACACATCATCCTTTTCCTCAAGATCTCATTAAGGATGAAAAATTCATGCAGGAATATAGACTCAATTCAGACCAACTAAGTAAAAACGATCTCACCACATATCACAACAACATGGAATTGCACTGTTAGTTGAAACTACTCCATGTTTATTTCCTCCATTCCTATGGCACCCCAGGCCTTAAATCTGGAACATAGTGTCATCACTACATTTGGTAGCATTTTCTCATGAAAGAAAAAAAAAGAGAAGACCATCCAAGAAAAAGTGACCCTAAACATTGCCCCTGAATGTTAGCATTTAAAAGTTTTATTTTTTACATAAAAATTGTAGGGCATATGTATAATATCATATTATTCCCAGGTGGAAAATGTGCATTTTTGTTTATTTAAGAGTCAGGTCAGATTATCAAAACTAATTTAAAAGAATACCATTACTATGAAGATGTCAGGTCATAGTGACCTTAGAATTCCCCTCCTATCAAAGCAATTTGAAATGGATAAATAATAAGCCAGCCCAGATGCAAATCCTGCAGAATCTTGGATTGTAGTAGCCATTAGAATTTAACGCAGACAATCCCAGAGCCAGAAGGAATCATGGAAGCTGTCCTTTAAGTCCCTGTGCCTTCCAAACTTTATACCCTCCAGAAAGATGAGACTCTGCCTGACCTCCATAAATGTCACCACCTTCCACCATGACCAACTCCTCATGGTTCAGGAGGGTGTGTAGGAGAGGAAATCAACCTTCAGCCTCAGAAGTAGCCATCCTCCCTCACCTCCAAGCTGGGCTCCCAACCATTTTCCTTTCCTTCTCCTGGGACTCAGTTCTTTCTTTGCCGATTTCTCCAGCCCCCTGTTCCATTTCCTCCCATCACACCACCTTAAATGGCTCTGCTCCCCTACAACCCTTCCCAGCCCAGTTCACCACTGCCAAGGTCACCTCCACCCTCTGCTCTCATTGCCTTGCTTCTCCAGTTGGTAGCCCAAGTTCTCTGCCTCCATTTTTTAATGGATCTTTTCTCTTAATATCCAGGGTATGCAAGGGCCTTAGCACACAGTAAGTGTTCACAAACAGCAACCTTGATTACTACTGATATCCTTATTATCTCATCCCCATAAATCCACCAAAATGGTTGCTCCACATCTGGTGGCCTCATTGATCTTGACAGGTTAAAGCATCCCAACATGTTCAAAACTCCTTCTTTATTAGAATACCAGAGGCCTGGCGCACAAAATTCGTGCACAGGTATGGTCCCTAGGCCTGGCCTGCAATCAGGGCCATCTTCCCCGGCTGCCCACAGCCGGCACTGCCCCCCTGCCACCACCCACCCCCAGTTTCCCATTTGTCATTGGATGATAGGAGCCTGATGGCCGGTGGAAGGGACTGAGAGGTTAACTGTTCCCATCCACTCGCCGGCCCCACCCCTGCCGCAGGTCGCCCTCTGTGTGTGGGGCAACCAGCGGGGAGGGCGCCTTGGCCAGGCGCTGCCCGCATCCCCCGCCACCCACCCCTGGCTCCCCATTTGCCATCTGGCGATCGAAGCCTGCCAGCTGGGGGAAAGGGACCAAGAGATGGTCAGTATGCCTCATAGTGACTGGTCCAGTGGTTGTTCTCATTAGGGTCAATTTGCATATTACCCTTTTATTATATAGAAAATGCGCCCTTATGTTCATTGCAGTGTTATTTACAATAGCCAAGATTTGGAAGCAGCCCAAGTGCCCATCAGTAGATGAGTGGATAAAAGGCTGTGGTATATTTACACAATAGAATACTACTCAGCCATAAAAAAGGAAAAAAAAATCTTACCCTTTGAGACAGCATGGAGGGACCAGGGGAGTATTATGCTAAGTGTAATAAGCTGGTCAGAGAAAGACAAATACCACATGATTTCAGGCATATGTGGAATTTAATGAACAAAATAAACTAATAAACAAAACAGAAACAGACTCATAGATAGAGAACAGACTGGCAGCTGTCAGAGGGGAGGGGGATTGTGGGGTGAAAAAGGTGAAGGGATTAAGCCAACAAACAAACAAACAAACAAACAAACAAAAAACTCATAGACACAGACAATAGCATGGTGATTACCAGAGGGAAAGGGGTGGGGGAGGTAGAAGAGGGTATAGGGGGAATAAATGGTGATGGAAGGAGACTTGACTTGGAGTGGTGAATAAACAATATAATATACAGATGAATTATTATAGAATTATATACCTGAAACCTATATAATTTTATTAACTAATGTCACCCCAATAAATTCAATTAAATTTTTTTTATTTAAAATAAAATAAAATAAATAAAATAAAATAAAATAAAATAAAATAAAATAAAATAAAATAAAATGCCTTCTTTCTTTGGCTCCTAGGGCACCCTCTTACCCCAGTGTCTCACTCGGACTTCAGAACCGGGAAGTTAATCAGCGCACATGGTTGGACTTGAATTTGGAAACCCACAGCCTTTTTGCCTGCTGTTGCTTCTGGTCACCACATCCAAAAGCAGGTGATGCAGGTCACAGCCCGCTCCTACATCTGGGCCATTGCGTATGGCCCCTCTGCCCCCACATTGTCACATGTCTCATTCTCCGGTTTCTTTGAGGTCTCGGCTCAAATGTCACCTCCCCAGAGAGGTCCTCTCTGACCATTAGGAGCATCATAACCAAAGGCAGGTAATCCCAGAACCAGGACAAAATTGGTGCTGTCCTCCGTCCCCACAGGTGGCTCTGTGGTTGACTCCCGCCCTGCTCACCTGAATCAACGTCTCCAGCTCCTGTGGGCTCACACAGATGTGGTCCCGCAGGAATTCTGCCTTTTCCAAGGCGATGGTATTCTTCTGGCTGCTCTCAAAGGGCTGCTCCAGAGCCCGGAAGACGAGACCACCCGTGACAAGGTAGACCACCACCACCACGAAGATGGCAACCACGGTTTTCCACTTCATGACGGTCTGCAGGCCCCCCTGGGAGGCACCTTCCATCCTGGCTACCACCGTGGCTCGGGAGGAGATGGACAGGCGTGGGGCCGGGTAGTGCCCGTTAGAGGCACCCTTGGGCTGGCACACTGGGGGCGCTGCTGCGGGAACGGCCACTGGGAAACAGGGAGAGGAGAGGGAAAGAGAGTTTGGTTATAAGCACAGAACACAAAATTGCTCAGAAATTAAGCACAGATGTCTTCCTCAGGCCAGCTTTCAAGTGTGAGGAGTAAAATGGTTCACCAAGATGCATTTAGGGAATGTGATCAGTCCTAGTTTTTTTTTTTAAAGTTATTAATTGCATTTGAAATGCTTCTATTTTTCTACAAGTGTCCAAATTTGAAGCCTGGTCCCCATTATTATTCATCTCCTCTCTCCTTGTTCAAACAATATGTAAGATACACATCAAATCACCATATTGGAAAAACAGACATTGTTCCACGTGGAGAGGAAATAAATGAGAGATGGATACCCAGCTACTCTGTCCACGTACTGAGGGCAGAGCAGAGAGGAGGTGAACGATCAGCAAGTTTAACAGTCCCTGTTAGCCAGGGCTGATGTCACAAAACAAAGAAAAGAAGGGTGAGCTGTCTACAATGGTGATGAGTCAAAAATGAGACACAGTCAAGAAAGTTTGGTTTCTGAAGACTACTAAAGGCGAAGAAAAAGAAAGGTGGCCATAGAGAAAGAAGGAAGCAATGGGTGATGTTTATGCCAATTAACTTGGTTTCCTGAAAAATATAAGAATATTAAAATGCCTCCTAAACATACCTCTCAACAGAGAATGTGATGACTCAGATGTAATCACTCCTGACCTATTAATAATAAAAGTTTTCTTCTATTTTCCTCTAATAAGAAGCCACTGAAAAGGAAATTTCCCCCAGTTTTCTAAACACATGGAATTCTCAAATTGTGAGAGCAATTTCATTACCTTGGAAATAAATGTGCGAAGCTGGGTCTTTTCTGGAATGGCAGGAAGTTGAGGGTGGTGTTGCACATGCAATGCTATTTCAGAAAACAGCCATTTCCCTTTGGGTTTGTTCTCCCTTTATTCTACTAATGCTTATTATGGTCTCCGTCATGGTGCAGCCCGACATTTGTGTAAATAAGGTATTAGGAGATGACAAACCTCATTACCTAAGTGCGGCAAACGACCTCACTCCTGAGAGCTAAACTGCTCAGTTTCTGCCTTGGGAAACACCAGTGACCCCGACAACACCTGTCCGGAGGGATCAGCTCCTTGGGTAATTTAGGTTCATACATCAGCCTTTCCTCCCAGAGCCTCAAAATCTGCTCTTTTCTTTGGAAACCAACCTGAGCATCCGTCTTTATTGTATACTAGAGGCCTGGTGCACAAATTTGTGCACTGGTGGGGTCCCTTGGCCTGGCCTGGCCCCTCTTGCAATCCGGGACCCCTTGGGGGATATTGGAGAGCTGGTTTTGGCCCAATCCCTGCAGGCCAGGCTGAAGGACCCCACCGGTGCACGGATCCATTCACCAGGCCTCTAGTATGCATATAAGATCTTTGATTAATCTCTTCCTGCCTTTCCCCCTCCCCGCTTACCTCTGAGATTCATCTATCTATTCTATGTTTCCATGCCTGTGGTTTCCACTCCTGCATTGAGCGTCTGCCCCTCTGGTGGTCAGTGCGCGTCATAGCTACCAGCTTAGGCTTTTATATATATAGATTATGTGATCAAATACAGTCATTACATGTTACATTTACTTCTAAGTTACATGAACATAAAACTCTAGAATATCTGAGAGATTCAAGAATTAGAATCCGCACCCTGGGTATTATGGTCCCTGAAGACAGTATGTTCAAGTTTCCACTTGTCCTTGACACTGGGAGGGTGAGCCTTGTCTAGGGCAGCTTTCTTTCAACCTTGCCTGCATTTCCCATCCATTTAACCTCCTTGCTGTCATTTTAATCCCTTGCACCTCTCACTATACCCATGGCTACCGGCCTTGTCCAGGCCACCATCCTGTCTTTCTTGGACCAGTCCAGTAGCCTCTTAGGTGACCGCCCTGCTTCCACATTCACCCACCTGTTCACCCATAAATCTGGGGTTAAATACCACCTCTGGGAGCATCTCTCCCCTGTTCCCTCAGTGGTCTGCAGACTAATGACCCCCAAAGATGTCCACACATCCTCACCCTAGTTCCTATGCCTACACTACCTCAGGTGGCACAAGAGTACTATGCTGCAAAGGTGACTACATTGAGGATCTAGAGATAGGGTAGTTTTCCTAGATTATCTGGGTGAGCTCAGTTTAAGTGTCCTTATAAGAGGGAAGCGGGAGTGCCAGGGAATAAAAGAGATGTTAGGACAGAAACAGAGGTCAGAGTGAGTAGGCATGAGCCAAGGGATGCAGACAGCCTCCGGGCGCTGGAAAAGGCAAGAACAGATTCTCCCCCTGGAGCCTCCGGAAGGATTCAGCCCTGCCCACACCTGAATGTCCTCCCACTGAGACAGATTTTTGAACTTCTAACCTCCCAGACCATAAAGTGATAAATCTGTGTTGTTTTCAGCCACCACATTTGTAGCAATTCATTCCAGCAGCAACAGGAACTAATAGCCCCCACTACCTTGGTCTCCCTTGGCCCACACCCACTGCCCCCTGGTGTTGGTAGAGCCTGTCTACCCGTCATTCGACTTAGAGCTCCAGGAAGGCAGGCACCATGTCTACCCCCTCACCTTTGCACCCCAGTGTCCTGCACAATGCCTGGCAGGCAAAGGGAGGTCAATCAGTGATGGCTGATGAAATGAATGGAGAATGGTGGGAAGGAAGAAATGTTGGCATATCCAAACTATACATACAATGTGGATGAGTGATGTTGAGTGGAAAACAAGTTGGCATTCCAACAAGACTGGACAAAAGGTTCTCCAACAGAGCAGATCACTGTTCACGCCTTCTTGGACATTCCCTAGGCCAATAGTCCCGTTCTACCCTCATCTGCCTGGGAAGCTACCATCCTCCTCAGTCTCAGCTCAGAGCTGCCTTTTCTGTGAAGTCGGCCTGGACTCTCCAGGCAGATGTGACCTGTCTGTCCCCTCCAAGAGTCTGTAGGCTCCTTGGAGTCAGAAAGCTTGTTTTTCAATTGTTAGAACTCCATATCTTGGCACAATGCCTAGCACAGAGCAAATATATCTTTTCTGTTGTTGTTATTGATGATAATTCCTTCAAACTATAAACAAAGCTCCATCAGAATCACCACCATCCTTTGTAACAAGCATTCATTTAGTACTCAATGGGCATGAGGAGCTGTATGGTGGTGGGACTAAGTCACCGTCCCTCCCAGCGTGGGCGTGGAGGGAGTGACAATCTCCTTAAGGAACAGTCCACAGCCTCAGGTAGCAACTGTCAGGATGGAGCCCCGCTGGATGAGAAATGATGGGCCTAAGCATGGAGGCCAGCTGCTGGGTCCCCTTCACTGACTCCCGCATCACTGATGGTTCCAGGGTTTCTAGGACCCCGAAGCTGGGCAGAAGTGGGCTTGAGAAAGGTCTTTCCAGGCCAGTTCATGGTGCCAGTTTGCTAAGAGACTGTCCCTGGGAACAGAGTTAGAACAGAATCCACCAAACCCGGAGTTTCCATAGCACCAGGAGCAAAAACCAGAGTTCCAGTCCCAAACCTGTGAGCATGAAACCACCTCTTAGTTTCTGTTTCCTTATCTGCAAAATATGAATAATAATGGCCAATTCTTTTTTAACCCCTACAGGGTTTTCAGGAACAGCAAATGAGGTGCCCTGGTTTAATGACTGGAGTACAGTGGAACTTCATTTCTCTAACTTAATTCATTCTGGAAGGCTGATCTAGAAGTGATTTGTTCAAAAACGGAATAATTTTTTCCCCATTAGAAATAATGTAAATTGAATTAATCCGTTCCAGACCACCAAATGATTCCCTGTCACAGCACATGTCTAATGTACTGATTAATTTATAAATAAACATTTCTTTTCTTAAATTTATAGAACTACCCTCTATCACCCTTAAAGGAATTTTTTATATATCACTGCCTACAAAATGCTATCATCAGCTAACTGCTTTTCCTTTATACAAACAACAGTTTTTCCACTTATTCAATTGCCAGCGATTGCTATTTTGTGAGCACTCTCACACCCTTTGCAACATTAGCACTCTTGATGGCCTCTTTCTGTTTTAAAATTGTGCTAATCCTCAATTTCATGAGCAACAAACACATTCTCTCCCTTTGCTTGTTGCATTATAGAAGCTTTTTGTCATGTTGGATATCAGCATAAAAGGGCTGTCAGGTGGAAAACTGAAGATTTGGTCAACAAGGAAGACATTTTTGTCTGTGAACAACGTGGTAAAAAATCGAATTGTTTGAGATGGGAGACATTCGAGAAACGAGGCTTGACTGTATATGTATAGACATCAGGGGCACTGGTAGGAACCTTCGAATATTATAAATCTTTTGTGTAATGGACTGAAAATGGAGTTGGTTGCCTTAGCAAAGTTGGCTGCACATTTCATTGGCTGAAAAAGGACTTGGTTTGTGCCCTTTGCTTTAATTGGATACATTTTTAAAGGGTGTTTTAATTAATCCATCCCTTCTCCTCCGGAGCCATAGTGGCTCTCACTCTAATACAAAGTTGCCGTGTGACCTGGGATGCTGCTGGAGCTCGCTGTGCCTGAAGCCAGCAAAGAAGCAAAATGGCCATGTGATGACCAAGGTGGTGGTGAAGGTAACAGGATGTCCTACCACTTACTGGGCACTTCCTTTGTGCCCGTCACTCTAATAAACTCTGCTTCATTGTTGCATTTGGTCCTCAGCATGAGGTATGATCGCCCTGTGTGATTCCAGTTTCTCCCAGAAGCGGGCACCAAGACGGGATTTTGTGCATGGATTTCATTAGGGGAAATGCATGTGTGAGAGAAAATGGGAGTCCTTCCGGGGGCTAGTGCAGCCAGCAGGCACACTGTGAGTCTGGTCCGCAGTAAAGGAGAGAGGGAGGAAGGATGGACTACAGCATTCAAGAGCCCCTGCAGCCTAGGGGAGGTCCAGCATGGCAACTGAGGAGTTCTTGAGCCAAAGTTGGCCATCTGAGGAGTCGTGTGTCTCCCAGGAAGACACCTGCCTTAGGGCCCTG